AAAGGGAAGAAGAAGAAAACTAGAAACTGAAGTCTCCTCCATCGCCCCAAATCCTTCACGACAATATGCCCAGCCACGCGCAGGCCTCTTAGCCCGCTCCCAGCATCACCACACGAAGGCCACAAGTCACTACGACCAGAGCTTTGTCCATCGAGCCGCTACTTGTCGTCGTCTGTCCACGAGCAGCCCCGTTTCTCGCCGAGAGCCCCACTTTCTGGTGACCAACGACCAGCCATCGTTCGTGAGGGCCACTAAATCGAGGGACAACAGCCGTGTCTCATCTCTGCCGACATCGAGCCCGGACACGCGCGCGCCCTCAACCGTACAACCCGTCTCTCGGTCGTTTTCGTGTGTTATATCCATGAACGGTATTAAGGCTTGAAACCTTTCTTTGTAAGGTGTTTTTATGTGTGGTGTTGTAGCCCTTGTGTTATTTACATGCTAGGGTTAGAAATTCAATTGTTCATGTTGTGATATATATTGTTTCTTTGCGAATTTGAGTGAAGTCATAATCAAAGCATGCCAAAGGTGAAGCCCTCTTTTGTTTATGGGTGTATAGATGATGTACATGGTTATTATGTTGTTGTTTTGGCATTATTAATTGAGTTGGGATATCATATGATAAGAATTTATGCCTTCTATGCGTTCGTCTCTTCGGTTGGATGTCAAAACTAAAGGACATGAGTTATTTTCGTGGAAACCCAGGAGTTTTGAGTGCTTTGATGTGTCCTTGACATGTTAGAGGAAGCCTCAAATCATTTTGATGCTTATTCCATGAGATATGAATTTTTAAAGATGAACGTGCTGCTGGATTTTGCAAATATCATGATAAATTGAGTTCAGGTCATTTTGATGTGAATTTTTTATATGTTGGACCCCTGCTGATGAAATTTATGCTGTAAAAATTTCAGATTAAAACTTGGCCTGTAGCTATGTGTTTAGTTGAATATAAGTTCTGGTCAGAAGTTTGAAAACTCAATATAAAATCGAGTTTGATGAATTTTGATGTGAAATTTTGTGGAAGGTGTTGTTCTGTTATCATGATGGTTGTGTCAAAATTTCATGTAAAGAGGACGTGCTTCTATTCGCGGAGACGTTTGGCAGTTGGAGGCAGCGGAGGATTGAAGTGGAGAATGTTGGCGGACTGGTCCTCCCGCCTTGGACGACCTTTAGGGCGGAGAAGGTGCGGGCTGTCGGAGTGAAGACTGTGTCGGCATTGTCGTGGCCGAAGACATGGAGCCTCTCGAGGTCGGCGGCGGAGATCTGGGATTAATTTGGAAATGCGGCAACGGCCAGAGAAGACAGGGAGACGGAGGCGGAGGTTGACGGAGATCTGGGATTAATTCGGACGTGACTCTATTCGCTGATGAATAAGGCGACGTCGGAGATGTTGATAGCGGCGGGAGACGGCCGGCCGGCGATGGTTGTAAAATTACCCTGTGTGTTTGTGTGTGTGTGTGTGCAGGGTGTGTTGGCATGTGTGAGAGTGACGTGGGACCCGTGAAGTGTGTGCTGGGTGCGTGAAAGAGGATGAGTGGGTGGGTCCCACAGATGGTTTGGTGTTTTTTAAATTTGTTAGGGTGAGGTGGGATAGTTTGATATTAAAATTACCACACTGCCCTTAGTGTGTATAAAATATGGAGTTTTTTTAGTTGTTGGATCATCCAATCTGATGGCTACGATTTATTCTTATTTCTTTCACTGAACATCATTCTCATGTGAGTGCAACCCTATATAGAGAAAGGATCATATGAGAACGGATGTTAGTGAATGAAATAAGAACGAATCTATACCATTAGATCTATTACATTAATGGTTATGACGAAGTCAAAATTTAATAAATATGGTCAAATATAGGATGGCAATCTTGTAAATAGTTGAATATATGGTAGTCAAATATATACCGCTTTCCACTAATTAAGGGTAAATCTGTAATTGATAACTCACAGTGGGTCCCACCAAAACCAAACAACCAAAATCTCTCTCTCTCTCTCTCTCACACACACACACACACACAAATAATCGGCACGCAGAGACGACGCAACCGTGCATCTTCCAATTATCCACTGTGCAGCCGCCGCTCGTTCGCCGCGCCTCCTCCATCTCAGGCCCGCCGTTCTTCCGCCGTATACCTTCACAAACCCGCTGCCGTGCATCTGCCATTCGTCCGCCGCTCAGGCCTCCTCCGTACACATTCCCAAGCCGCTGCCGTGCATCAGACATGATTATATCAATTTCGCCATCTCAGACTTCCTCTGCCTACCTTCACCATCCCGCCGTCGTGCATCCGTCGCCCTCCGTCGTGCATCAGTAGCCGCGAAATATGAAACTCCGGTAAGAAAGCTGACGAGTAGGTTGTTGACAACCAGTCTCGGCGAAGTCCTCCTGCACAACTCCTCAGTGCCGCCCATTCTCGTCGGCGTCGAACCTCTGGTCACGGTGGTCGGCGGCGGCAAGATGACTGGCTGTAGAACACGATGACGGGGTGCTGCACTTTTTTGAATTGGGGGAATTGATTTTGTGAATTTGATAAATAGTAAGGCCTTGATTGCAATTTTAGAAAGTTTAATATATTACAATTTAATCTAGGGGTCCAATTTGTAATTAATCAATCTATAATTAATATGACAATATTTTTATATAATGTTTGGTTGAAAATAAATAATATGGTACATACAAATATAAAAAAAAACATATTATTTATTATAAAAACATGATTGGTATCTAATATCCTTTTTTATTTGATATTTTATATTATATTTTGATTAAAAAAAATTATCCAATATGCAAAAGAAATATATTGTGCAATCTAATTGATATTAAGGTGCAAATTGTCAAACATTATAGTGCAATGTGTCGGTCTGTATTGTGCAGATTGAACCACTCAAACCATTGTCCTATGTCAAATTGAAAATGAACAAAATTAATTGGTTTATTCGGTTCGGTTAATCGAATTTCCTTAAATAATCGAAATATTTTTTTCTATTTACATCAAAGTTATATTTAGTACGTTAATAATTTATTTATTATTTAATATTATTTTAGGTGAAAAAAATCTGAGTTCGGTCGGTTTCGATTTCTATTGTGCAATCTGACAGTGTGTTAAAGTGCAACGTGTTGTTTTGTATTGTGCAACGAGTTGTTTTATAAAGTGCAACATATTGAAATACCATAATACATTGACATGCTTGTGTTTTATTTGGATAAATGATGTGATCGATGTTAAAGTATTATGCATATCCGTTTTTTTTTTAGATTTACATTGTGTGGTGTTTTGGTGGGAGCTGTTGACGTTAATTGTGGATTGTGTTGATAGACCGCAACTGGGTGTTTTATAAAGTGGATCGTGTTTATTTATAAAGTGCATCGTGTTGATATATAAAGTGCACTTAAAAAAAAAATGCCAAAACCCCTAAATCCTTAATTTAAACTTATTGTGGAAATAATTTATTATTTATATTATAAACTATATTTAATATTTTAATTTAATTTTTTGGTTATTTTTAAAAAATAAAGCTACATTGAACCGAAATAACTAAAATTTTAAAGGTAAACACATATAATTGATCCGACATAAAATTCGAACACAAAAAACTAATTTGACCGAGTCGGTTGATATAGTGCAATATGTCAGTTACTAATGTGCAATCCGTATAATACTAAAGTGCAATATGCTGTCAATAATATGCAATCGGTCTAACAATAGTGTGCATTCCAAGTGAGATTTTTTTTTACACAAAAATATATTTAGTATATGTAATATTTCATTTAATACTTTATATTGTTGTTTTATGAAAATAAATAATATATATAGATAAAACATAATTTTTTTTGTATGTTTTGTTGGTTTTGGCTTTTTTATTTTTTATTTTTGTAAATAAAGCAGAACTCAGATTGAAATATTCTAAATATTTTTAATATTTTTTAAAAAATGATAATGTGCATTTCCAAAGAAGCTAATGTGCAATTCGTCTAACATTATTGTGCACTTTATTTATTATGTACACCTCAATTCTTGAAACTTTTAATTAACGTGTATTTAAATCAACATATATAATATAAATACTATTTTTTATATATGTCGGTCGATTTCATTTATTTTAAAAATAAAGTCGAAACCGAATTGAAATAACTGAAATTTTAAAAATAACAAATGCTAACCAAACCGCACCAAAAATTTTACTCCGACCGTTTCAATCGGCATTATTAGGCAATTTCACATAAATTAATATTAATATTGTTTATTGAAAATTTGATAAATTATAAATTTAACCCATAATTTAAATTATAATACATTTTTAATGTGCATTACAAAGAATATTGTGCATTTCATTTATATGCATATTTAGTGTTTTAATATTTTATTATTTTACATAGAATATAAAAAATACTCTAAATCAAAATAACCAAAAATTTAAATTAAAACTCGATAACATAACCGACATAAAAAATAAACTAAATTTTGTATCACGACCGGTTTCGATCATTTTTCTCGACTTTTGTGCATTATATAGACCGTACATTTTTAATGTGCATATACACTTTATATATTGTGCAAATCAGTTAACATTAATGTGCATTTATTAACTTTTTAATACATTGTAAATCTGCCCCATACATTAAATTTTAATTATAGTAAGATGTTTGAAATTGCTTTAAGGTCCCTAAAAATCATCCAATTTCCATATCAAAGCCCCCAACCCCCAATTGAATTTTCTCAGCCCCCAAATCAAAATTGAATCAACTGAAGCCCTTGCCACAGCCGCCCTCTGCCACATAGATACCCTCTCCGTCATCGTCGCTGCCGCAATCCCCAGAGAATTTGGCCGTCTGGTCTAGGTGGCGGGGACTGGTTGAATTCCAGCGTGCTGCGACTTGCGCGGTGGCAGACCTGCGCGGAGGCGTCCTCGGTGAGTTCAGGGTGTGGGCGGTGGTTGTGGGTGATGCTGGGTGGCTCTGGCCGGAGCGCCGGTGGGAAGGTCGGCGACGAACGAGGTGGTGGCAGACAAGGGGGACGATTTGTGTGTGTATTAGGTATCTGTGGACAACCGATTGGGCGAACGAGGTGGTCGGCGGCGAGTGGTGGTTCGGCTGCCGACGGACAATCGTTTGGACTCTCTGAGGTGGCTTCTCGCCGGTGGTCGTTGTTCGCCGACGGCAGATTGAGATATAGCGACGGGCTGAGAGACAGAGATATGTGTGTCGATTTGCTCTGTGTGCGTGTGTGTGTGTGTGAGAGAGAGAGAGAGAGAGAGAGAGAGGTACGGTGGTGGGGTGGTTGGGTTGGCAGGTTTATTAATGTGGAATGAGGCCCACCTTAGTGTGGTGTGTAAAACCAACTCCCCACTTTCATAGGGCCTAGAGAGCCAGCCAAAAAGAACAGAAACTTAAAACCAACTCAATTATCCAAAACGAACAGATCAATACTAACACCAATAATTATGCAAGAGAAGAGAACTCCATACACTCATTATGAGCAGCTTTTATCATCATATGAGCCTGCCGTAGAATTCCTTAGAAGATCTAAAGATTCTGGGCTTTCCAAAGCCACCAAAGCATATATGTGGTTCCACCAGTACCTAAAAGATAGTGAAGAGAAGTGCAAGCCATCCCATTTTAATAGGGCTAAATCCCAGACCCTGCAAGCTCTTGAGCAGTTCAATAGAACATGGTCAACTATTTCAGGAGCCTCACCACAACTTTGGCATATAACATCAATATCCAAACCTTTGTGTTTCAGATTTGTTTTAACAGGAAGAGAGCCAGCAATGCATTTCCATATGAAGTGTTGTACCTTACCAATGACTTTCAGTTTCCAGTATCTAATATGACCAGGAGTAGGTGAGTGAGTAGGGAAGGAGCTGCTGCCGGGGATATCCAATGATAACAGTTTCTGAGAGGAAAGAAAGGTGTATGTGCTTGAGACTGAGAAGACTCCTTTTTTAACAAATCTCCAGTACAGTCTATCTTCTTTACTAGGCTTTAAAGTGCTGATATTGAGAATTGCGTTGCTATTTTCACCATCAAGAACTTGATTCACCAGCCATGTATTCCAGCCCGAGCCAGAGTCATTAATCATATCCTTAACCTAGACGAGATATCCCCTGGCTATATCAATAAGAGAAGGCTTCTGCTTTAGAAGATTGGGGACCCAATCCACATCATCAACTCTAGCGTTCTTCCCATTTCTGATTTCAACAACAAAACATTTGGCAAAGATTGGGATAACATCTAACCAATTGGACCTTAACCATGAGTAATTCTGAGACTTGACATCATAAAAAATTGGGCCATTTGAGAAATATCTTTCTTTCAGGATTCTAGTTACCAAGAGGTCTGGTTGGGTAGTGATCCTCCATAATTGCTTACAGATGAGGGCTATGTCGAAGTTCTTGATGTCAATGAATCGTAGGCCTCCCCTGTCTTTTGGAAGGGTAAGAAAGTTCCATGATCTCCAATGCATGCCTGAAGTTTGATCCTTACCTTTTCTCCACAAGAATCGAGAGCAAATTTTTGATATTTCAGCTCATAAAGTTGCAGTGAGTTTGAAGCATGACATGGAGAACACAGGAAGGGCTTGAATCATAGCCTTCAATAACACTTCTTTTCCAGCACATACTGAAAGGCTTCCAATTTGGATCTACTAATGAAAAGTGGTAAACACAAATATCTTGTGGATTTGTGGGATGTGATGCCTTGAAGAGTTGCACAGATGCTCAACTGAACAGGATGAGAGCATTTCTGGTGAATAACACTGCTGATTTATGAAGATTTACAAGCTGAAGAGTAAATAATTTGTATCTATCCAACAGGTTTAATAGAATGGCTGCTTGATCAATGCTAGCCTTACAAAAAAATAAGGAGTCATCTGCAAATAAAAGGTGAGAAATGACAGGTCTAATCCTTGATAGTTTCAAACCAATCAATTGTCCGAAATCAATGGAGTTAGTGACCAAAGCAGAAAGCATTTGAGCAACAATTATGAACAGATAAGGGATAGGGGATCCCCTTGTATGATACCTCTGGTAGGAGTCACATATCCCTTGACATCACCATTAACTTTGAATAAATAAGAACATAAGGAGATACAAATCATAATCAGATTCAGAAAATCCTGCTGAAAACCCATTTGGATCATGATTTTCTTGACACTGAGCCATTCAACTCTATCAAATGCTTTCATAAGGTCAAGCTTGAGAGCCATAAAGTGATTTTTCCTAGAGAAATGTCTAGTAAGATAATGAAAAGCTTCTTGGCCTATGATCAAATTATCAAGAAGTTGTCTTCCTTTGATGAAAGCAAATTTAGAGTCACTTATACATAGTTCCAAACTGCTTTTGAGTCTAAGAGCTATGATCTTGGACAAAATTTATAAACCACTGTGCACAGGCTGATTGGCCTAAATTGATAAAGGAATTCTAGGTGTGGCCATTTAGGGATGAGAGTGACAATTGTATGATTTCAATACTTAAGCATACGACCATTCTCATGAAAAATACTAGTGACAGCAGCAACAAGATCAAATTTAATAAAAGGCCAGAATTTTTGATAGAATAAAGCCGTCATATCATCTTCCCAGGGATTGTTCTGGACTGAGGCTAAAAAGTGTAGTTTTTATCTCATCTTCTGTGACTGGTCTGAGAAGCTCTTGATTCATATCTGATGTGATGGTCTTAGGAATAAGATGAGGGATAGAGTCTTCTCCCCATGAACCTTCTGAAGAAAACAGAGAAGAATAAGAGTCTGAGATGTGTTCTTGAATTTCCTTTTGGGTAGAAGATTCTCTATTCTGGTTTGTGAGTAGTCCTGTAATTGCATTCTGCCTTCTTCTGTGCATAGTGTAGGCATAAAAAATTTTTGAGTTGCAATCTCCTTCATTGAGCCACTGAACCATGGCCTTTTGCTGCTAGAAAAGCTCCTCTGATTTATGGGCTTCTTCTAATTCCTTCTTGGTGGATTCCCATGTTTTCCAATTATTCTCAGACTTGCTTTCTTGAAGAGATTCGAGCTTTTTAGTCAGATTGTCAATAGTGGATTGTCTTTGAGTTTTGAACTTTGCACTTCATAATAAAAGAGCTTTTCTTGTGTTCTTGATCTTCTCTTGTAGTTGAAAAAAAGGAGTGGCACTCTGATTGATGGTCCAAGCCTTATGCACCACTTCTGATACACCATCCATCGAGATCCATCTTTTGTTAAAAGTAGAATCTGGTTTTAACTCTTTTCTGTAATACACCAGCATTCAAAAGCAGCATGGAGTGGTCAGAAGCACTTCTGACCACATTGAGGATAGAGGCAATAGGAACGGAGGAGTTCCAATCTGCAGAACTTCTCTTCAACTAGGCCTTCATAGCTTCTGTTGTTACACCAAGTGAATCTGTAACCAGACATGGTTATCTCTTCCATTTCCATGTTATTGATGAAATTGTTGAAGCAAACAAAACTCCTATCAGATCTAATGACACCTCCCTTTTTTATCTTCCTTGAAACATAGATCATTCTAATCACCAATCATAAACCATTTATCCCCCTAATCTCTTTTTTCCAGCTCTAAGCACCTTCAATGTTCAATTCTGGTAAGAGAACATACACCCAGGTAGACAAAAATTCCCCAACTTGTGCAATCATTTTGGTATTTATACTCCACTGCTATGAAGAAGTCTTTGCACATTATTCGAGAAATTTGCACCTCAACTGACCAAAGAAGTAATAACCCCCGACTTAAACCTTTAAGGTCAACAACAACAAATTTATTATCAAAACCAAGTTTTCTAGCCACAGACTAAGCAAATGCAAAAGTTTTCTTTGTTTCAGAGAGAAAGAAGAAAGCTGGGTGATGAGTCCTATAAGACTCTCTGATTAGGGAAACTGTAGAGGTCCCACCCTGTTAGTGTTATACATTGAAAGCTTGGCTTTGGATGATATTATACTTTTACCCTTTATGAATAAGAATCATGTTAGATTAAACAAGTTCTATGTTCTGTTGTTTTGCACTTTGATAGAATGGGTCATCATCGGGCGAACAGAAGATCATTCTCTCAGTTAATCGCGAAACAAGAATTGTGGTTTACAACCTAGATGGAAATGAAAAACCCATCCGAACGGTTGTAGTGCCAATGGTACAGTTGGTCTTGACTGATTAGTTGCACTAGTACGTTTATGTATTGAACAGGATCCCAGAGAGGAGAAGTTCGTTTTATATTGATTGTTGTAAACGAACTAGGCCTCGGTTAATTACTGCGTTCTTTTAATCCATAAGATAGTAAACATACATATATATGCAGTACATATTACTTTGATTCACTTGGGTGCGGTTCAGTTCGCTAGATTAATATTCCTACTATTTTGGGTAATATTGTTGTATGTATGATGTGTTGTTAGGATATTTACGGTCACCATGTGCGTTAGTTTGATGATGTCCCCGAAGTGAGTTCATGAAAGATTGCTATGCTAAACCTGCAGGTGGATTATGTTCCGACATAATAATAATGTGATGAACGAGTGCTAGCTTCGGTGAAATAAATAATATATTAATTAGTTCTTGATTGTCACTAATCGAATTAATTAATGGACATTATATCTTAAACGTTGGGCGGTAAATCGAGTAATTATAATTGGAGTCTCAAATGTAATTTGGGCTAGGAAAAGGGAGTGCAATAATATTACGTTAGTGGACCGTAATATTATTTAAGTAATTGGAAGAGTGGGCATGGCCTCTAGTTAGTCCATTACTTAAGAAGCCCTATTCCTAATCTCTTAAGGATGCCTACTGTAGCTCTATATATATATATCACTAAGCTCATGAGAAGAGATCCATCTCATTATTCATGTGAAATCGGCACCCTTCTCTATCTCTCTCTAGATCTCATTCGAGCTTTATCTTTTTCTCGTTGCTCCATCGGTACGAGTTAAAGAGGTGTGTGAGTAATATGGTAGAAGATCCCGAGGTAACTAAGACATATATTCATCAACCCCAGAGATCCATAGCCGACAGATCGTGACTTGTCGGACCGCCGCCGACGAGCCACGACCAGCCGACGACCGCCGGGATGCCAGCCGAGCCGACTTCGCAGACCACCGCAACATGCAACCAGGCCCCGCGACAAACCGCCGGCGACCACCAGCCACACGACCGTCCAACGAGACACGACTGGCAGATCCCACCACCCGTTCATGTTATCAGCATCCCCGTGACGTGCTGTTTCCGGTCATTTCGAATCCATCAGATTCAGAAAAGTTTTAAGGCGTAAGTTTTCTACGTCAAACCTTTAGATCCACTGCGCATAGGTTTACGTTTGCTATTGAATTCCTA